TTTTTGCTGTCCATATTGATTGAAGGCTAAGTAGGTTCTCTGGTCTAACTGTAAACCTGTACATTTGTCATGTTGTCCAGCCTGGAATCATGCTTGTAAAAGCGTGAAGATAAAAAGGTTTAGCTTGTACGCTCATAGATACTGTGAATTGTTGTGTGTTGGTTTTGTTACTTATTTATTTTAAAAGTTTTTTGTATAAAAGTTAAATTGCTTTCAGTGTATAGGAGCTCGCGGACGCTCGCTTTCGGCTTTAGGCGCTATTACCGCTAAGTGTCTAAAAGCCGCGCCCTTGACATTTACATGCGGTTCATTAACTGTGATTTCAGGAAGAGCGACAGGTTAAACCGCAGTAAATAGTTACCCATATTATCCGTGATCTGAAAAGTTAAAGTGAAAGTGGAATAGTTCCGCAGTTTTTCTCTTCGCAGACATGGAGCCTGCTCTAATGAGATGCTTTTATGTGTTGCTGTCGGTGGTCATCTGTCACGGTAATTACTGTAAAGCATTTTTCTGCTTGTTAGTGACTGTGAATTCACTTTGAGTTATATGGAGCTGAAAGGCAGTACAGGATTTTATTTAAGTGAGGATGGGGTTTTTCCCCCCTGTGCTTCAACTCTGAGGGAAAAAAAATGCAGAATTGAGGGACTAGAAATAATAGTTCTTCTGTAAAACTGCCAAAAATACATTTCTAATCACTTATTCAGTAAATCCAACACAAGTGTGTATTGTAACTAGGTTTTCTGGTTCATGGATAAACCGGTTTTTGGAGGACTGTAACTGCACTTCCTCTGTAGATAAGGAACAAGGGGTTTGATGAGTAGTGTTAGGGGGGTCAGAAACAATATACCATCAGATAGGAATAGGAGACTGAATGTAGCATAGCCAGTCCACCTACCTGTATGTTTTTGGACAGAAAACCGGAGAACCCAAAGGAAACCCACATAAACTCTTAGAAGAAAATAACCCAAGCTCTGGATCAAACCCAGGAACCTGGTGCTGTGAGGTAACAGTGCGACCCAATGCACCACTGTGAATCCCCTATTAGAGTATAATAATTAATCATTTGAAATGAGCATTTTATAGTAGATTAAACTTGTCTTGGTTCAACTGAATTGACTGATCTTTAAGTTTAAAGGTGAAATACAGTAACGTTCTACAGTAAAATTAATCAATTTTTCAGCATAGTGTAGCTCACGGCAAACTGATGTGAGTGGATTTAATCCTCTACCAATTTGAATCATCCATTTTATAATGAATTAAAATAGAGTCTTGGGTATTGTATTGGCAGATCTTGTGATTTTGAATGGGAATTACTACAAAATTCTACAGTAAATTTTATTCATTTTTGTTCTGAGCATAGAGTAGTTCACTGTGAATTAAACTGCATGAGGTTTATCATTTACCAGTTTGATTTGTCTCTCTTATAATGCAACAAAATAAACAACTGGTTCAATTATATTGAGAGATCCATGATTTTGAAGAGCAATTACTGTAAAATTCTACAGTAAAATTAATGAATTTCTATAGTGAGCATAGAGGAGCTCACTGTGACCTGATGTGAGTGGGTTTGAGATTTGAAATTTATTTCAGCAGTAATTCAGTATTTCAGCAGTGTCAGAGACTTCCTCTGTGAAATAAACCATCTTTACTTTTTAAACCTTTATTTATGGTTAGATTTAAATAATAATAAAGTTTCTTTAATTATGTTTTTTTTTTTTTAAAATTATGTTTGTATAAAAGTTAAGTTGCTTTCAGTATATAGGAGCTCGCACACGCTCGCTTTCCGCTTTAGGCGCTATTACCGCTAAGTGTGTAAAAGCCGCGCCCTTGACATTTACATGCGGTTCATTAACCGTGACTTCAGGAAGAGCGACAGGTTAAACCGCAGTAAAGTAGTTACCCATATTATCCGTGATCTGAAACGTTAACGTGGAAGTGGAATAGTTCCGTAGTTTTTCTCTTCGCAGACATGGAGCCTGCTCTAATGAGGTGCTTTTATGTGTTGCTGTCGGTGGTCATCTGTCACGGTAATTACTGTAAAACATTTTTCTGCTTGTTAGTGACTCTGAATTCACTTTTGAGTTATATGGAGCTGAAAGGCAGTACAGGATTTTATTTAAGTGAGGATGGGTTTTTTCCCCCCTGTGCTTCAACTCAAAAAATGCAGAATTGAGGGACTAGACATAATAGTTCTTCTGTAAAACTGCCAA